ATGCGTCAGGAATGCATCTTCTTCAACAGGTGGGTGTGCAACTCTGGTGGGGAAAAGGCTATTTTGGCAGAGAGGGCTGTGAAGGCTTTGCTGATGTGGGCTGCTACTTAGGCAGGAACAGCAACTCTGTACCTTCAGGACAGAGAGACCGAGTGCCTGCAGTGCCCCAGGGTCACATGTCCCATTTTGGGCACAGCCTGGCACGTGGCAGCCACCAGCAGGATGCTGGTGCACGGACCTCAGCGGCCAGAAGGAACAGCCATGCCCTCATTTCAAATCTGAAATTATCTGTTTGTATTGATACAGAGAAAGCCAAAGTAGACTGAGCTCAAGGTTCTCCATCCTATTTTGGTGGACATGTACCTGGCATTAAGTACCATAGTACGACTTTGTGCATGCCTCTGGTTTTTACCACATTTTGGACACTACATTTTGACACAGTGTATTAGACAATAGGATAACTGCATGGAAAAGAGGTGGGATTTTTATGGGTAATTCATTATCTGTACATGCTTTTTTAATATATGTGTCTATTCCCTTTAATATGAGAAGGATGTAGTAAGATAGATAGAACACAGTAGTTTTCAAGGCAGCTACTTCAGGGAAAGATTTAAAACCTAACCAAACCTTCCGCACATTTCCCTGTGAGGATCAGGAAGTTCTTGGCTTTGAAGAGCACAAAATACTGAACTTTCTCCTCAGTTCCCTCCATGCTGGCTTTGTTTCAAAAAATCCTGTGAAGCTTCCTACCATATTATTAAGAAATCTCATTGTTTGCTCTCAGATAAGAATTAACTTCCAACCAGAGATGGAGTTATTTTTGTTACTTCTTTTAACTGAACCTTCAGAGAACTGAAAAAACTGCAAAGGATCCAGACAGCACTCTGTTCTAATTAAGACAGTCACTTACCACTCAAAAACATTTTCTTTAGATTTATGGTAACTTGCAAGTATTTTGTTAAGCATTTTTTTAATTATTCATTCACATATCATAAATTTGGCTCTGAAACTAAAATGATACTTGATTCATTAGTGGAAGGAGTTGAGTTCAGTCCTGTGCTTACAAGCTTAGGAGGGACAGGTCTACCTGGCATTTTACTCTCAGCTGTATTGTTTTGGAGGTAGATCAGAGTCATAAGAACATACAGGTATTTTCTCATGGAGAAACCAACAGATACAACTTAACTACAGGTGTAGCTCTATCCACATAGAAGAGATTAGGTACCTTGAGGAGTCGAAAGGCTGTCATCCAGCATGTCCTGCTTTGCTCGTCTTCAGCACACAACAACCTCAGCTCCTTAGTTTCATTTCTTACTCTGTTGGGCTATAAAGTATTAAAGTCAGCTACATTCAGCAGAAAACCAACAACACTGGAAGTTTACTGCAGAATACAAGCAGGTACAGTATTAGCCTAAGAACTGTCCAGAAAAAGAAACCACTTTCTCAGCTGGGTCCAGTAAGGTAAATGCCTGCTTTGAAATACTCTGCGGCTCTAGCAGTTTATAAGAAGGTACTCAGGCCATGCTAGAACCAGAATCAAGGTGTTTGTTTGTTTGAATAGAACCGTGAGAAGTTTAATAAGCCCTAATTTTGAGATGAAGAACCAGTTTCCGTAACTGAAGGTTACTGAAACCCTGTGTCCCTCAGTTCAGGATCTGTTCCACAGCCAGTCTCTACTCTCTGAGGCAAATCCATGCTGTCTAGCTCTGGAAAGGTTGCTAGGAAGGAGACTGCTTCACTGCCCTCAGCCTTATTTTCTTCTCTACAAAATTACATGGAGCTTTGAAATACTTCCCAAACCCATCCATCAGCACAACGGTATTTTAAATCCTCAAGGGCAACTGCTTATCCTTATTCCCATCTTCCAAGACAGTGGTACAATTATACCTGATTGGAGCTTGATCCTTTGTTGCTATACAGTTTTGGTGCTCGCTGTCCAGGGAAACGTTCATATTTAATTAAGAGTACTTGGGAAATAATTTAATCTGTCAGTGAACCAAGGCCACCTCACAGGCACACCATGCTTCAGCACTGAGCTGATCTCACAGAGAAATTTCCCAAGCCAAAGGAGCACCAGATAAAGTGTTAAGTGTCATGGAAAATGATGGCAAGAATGACAGGACATGCCTGCCAAATGAAAGATGTGAAAGATCAAGTCTTCATGACAGAAATGCTTGCAGAGTTTTATATACAAATCCCATTCAGCCGGGGGATAGGGGGACTCTGGGCTACCAACACT